CACCTTGTTCTTCAATACATTTTTGGGCACGTTTTTCAACTGCTCGAACTGTCTTAAGTATGGTCCTACCATCTATCTGGGTTATCTTTTCCCTAACTGCAGTCTTTAACGCGTCAAGGTTATCGTACCTTCGCTTGTAAATTTGTTTCTTTAAGTAACCCCACAAGAAGTAATCAAGTGGGTTTAGATCTGGTGATCTGGGAGGCCACTGTATTGGGCCATTTGTTCCTATCCACTGATCATTAAAAGTAGTACTTAGAAAATGATAAGTACCTCTGGAGTTGTGGGCAGGTGCGCCATCTTGCTGAAAATGCAGATGATGTCTACTTATAAGATCCAATTCGTCTAAGAAATTAGTCAGAATTTCTGACATAAATTCCACATATCTTTCACCAGTTAGGGTTCCCTCATAAAAGAACGGGCCAACAATTTTTGAACCAATTATACCGCACCAAACGTTGAAACTGAAACGGACTTGTGGGCCTCTTGGATGTACTAACAAAAGATTTTCTCTTGACCAATAATGGTGGTTTTTTCTATTAAACATTCCAGAATTTGAAAAATTTGATTCATCTGTCCATAAAAGGTAACGAAAGTTATTTACATTTTGGCGACAGAAGCTAAGATACCAATGGCAAAAAACAAGTCTTCTCTCTGGATCCCCTGCCAAAAGCGTTTGAACTGGTCGGTACTTATACGGAATAAATTTGTATTTTTTTAAAATCCTTTGAACAGTACTATAACTGAAATTAGAGTCCTTGAGAATATCTGCTATTGAATTCTCACGATAAGCTTCAAAATATCCAATAACTGCAATTTCCGTGGCCTCGCTTATTATGAATTCTTTTTTTGCCCTTGTTTTAGCAAAAACATTTTCGTTGCCCCTAAATTTTCGATAAAGTCTCAGAAAATATCGTTCATACGGTTGAATGCGAGCGGGATATAATTCACTGTAGTATTCTCTTGCTCTCAAGGAGGATTTTCTGCACACTAAATAGCATTCTAACATATCACACTTTTCTTCATGGGAGAACATTTTTCTTTAAATTAATGACACAATAAAGCTTATAAACAAGTATTTACACTAATGTTTGACATTATTTGATTTTATCATTGTTTTCCAAAGCCTTCTAGTTGCGAGTATGTCCAGTTTAACAATTTGTCGCTTATCTTAATGCTGTCAAATCGCGAATGCCATGTTGTTTTCATAGCCGTCTTAATATTATAATACTGCAAATAATTAAAAATATTTATCGTTATTTTGACTTTATTTTTGACTTTAGCGGAAAAGTCATTATGAACTTTTTTGTTTAAAATTTGATGCTTTAACAGAAAAAAATATAATATACAGGGGTTTCCATTTAAAAAAATGTTATTTTACTGAAAAAAAAACAAAATAACGACTCTCAATTGTTTTTTTTTTATTTCTCATTTTTACCAGCGTTAAAAATGCTACTAGTTTGCTAATTCAAACAACTTTTTATTTTCACTAATAAGAAAGTTACTAATGGTGGACACTTAATTTGGATAACCCTGTATTTTGGTACAAATTTTGAAGTGGGCCAGCTGAAGTGGGAAGGGGTTCCTATATGGCTTGTAATTCGACAGTGTACAGTGAATATAATTACTTCTTATCTCTCTCATTTTTGGAAATTCAGCAAATTTTTATATGTAATTTCCAGAAGGGATAAGAAAAAGTGGAAGAACCCAATGTAATTATCATCAACACATACAACTTACAGCTTAGACCTCAAGTAATGCTATCTCAGAAGCAGACTTTACATCACATCAGCGCCAAAGATTGATAACAAGCCTCATGACGTTTAGGCAACACGTTCAACTAAGTGCTAAGTTAATATCTTGTAGAAAAACCTACATAATGTCAAAAACTAGCATAATGTCAAAAAAAAAATCGGCATAACGTCACTTTTTATAGATACGTGATACCGGTGCAGATTATGGGGAGGTTGCAGCACCAGGTACGGGAAGCAAAGCACGAGACGTGTCCAAACGGCATGATTGTAACTCATCAGAATTAATAATTTGTCTGAGCATAGTATTACCGAAATCAGATGCTTCTTAGTAATCTAACGAATACACTGTTTTTACTGTCCGAATGCTAATTTATGACTATACACTTATTTAACACGTGCAACTAGTCTATGACATATTTGTAATCATGTCGAACAAACTATGCTGCCGCGTTGGTCACTGTTCGTGCATTGTCCTCACTGTGACTTACTGGTTCCGCCATCTGGTTGGATATTTATTTCGTGAATCGATGGTTCCCGACGCATTTCAGCATTTTCTAGCAAAATCTCGATTTGTTCTCGAAGCTGGTAGATGGCGCTAGGTGCCTCCAGACGAATCTCGATGATTCTTGAATATCGGTCTAGCCTTCTAGGTGGAGCCGCACGTGAACGCAATCGTTAACGAAGCCTCGCAAGCTGAGATACATGATGGTTGTAGCTCTGGTTGCCTAATACTGCGAGAATATCTTTTTACCAATCACGGTCTAGTTATTAGGGAGTTACTGATAACACAGATGCAACATTTTCAACCCCCTGACCATCTTCAACTTTTCAACTATCACTGCTCCACTAAAATGTAGTATCTCTTCATCAATTTCATCATGTATCCAGCTTTTTGAAAAGCACTGTATGTTTCCACTTTATTCTTGAAAATGTGTACCAGCGGAGGAAATTAATGGAATACCTGAAGTTACAAACGTATGAGGTTATTTTCGTACTACACAAGACTCCGGTCTACATCTTTGTCTTCGCTTCTTCTCTGTTCAGTTCTTCCATCACAAAGACACAAATTCGATACGTATAATAAGTTACACCCTAAACTGCTACATCAAGTACCCTAGTTGGGTAGAATTCGCCCTCAAAGGTAACCCAGTTGGTCGCAAGACAACAGGGTATTGTTTACTCCATAATTAGTAGCAGGTCCAACCACCGTACCGCACCGTCCAGTCCTGTAGAGTTTACGGATGGTGGCGTCAATTTAACGCTCTTCCAGCGCCACTTTGCAACTTTAATGAGATATCTTGGCTTGTGTGCAAACTTTCAGCTACCCAGCTCACACTGCACTTCTATCTGGGTCTCACCGAGTCTTACATTTTGCGGTTTATGCGTTTGGAAACTTGCATTTCCTGTGAATATTTTATCGGGCTCACTTATTAATTGGTCGATAGTTATTGTAGATCAGGTGTATTATGGTTTCAAGGAGGCGCTTTACTTGTCATGCCACTAACGAGGAAATATTGTGATTTCGAAAAACTTCAAAATGAGATATTTTGTTTTTTTAATTGAGAATGATGTGTCACCCGTTTCCATCGGTTTGTCTGCCTGCTGATCTATCAGCCTGTCAGCCTGTCGATCTGTCATTTTCAAAAAAAGTTTTGACTACCTACTAGAATGGACAAATATACAGATTTCAAGCTCAAACATTCGAGAATCGCAAAATGCGATGTGAATAGTTATATTTGCTCAGAAGCCGCATAGAAGGAATGGTTAATCCATTTGACGCTACAGTGAACACTCAAAGTGACGCAAGGTTAATTTATTAATTGTACGAAAGTTGACGGAAGTCAGTCTTTCACGTTTATGTCACGCGTTTAGGTCTGAATCCTACTGTTATCGGTGTAATCTCCTCTATAAGTCACGAAAATTACTCTTCCAAATGTTATGGCCTCCCCTGTCACCTGATAAAACTTTGATAAATACTTATTAGGTAAAACTAGCTATAACGGAAGCATTAAGCTTTCTTGCCTGAATCCTATTTCTGTTATCGATGTTTTTTTTAATTTTCAAGAGTGTACTCTTTTAACTCATCCAATCTAATCAAATACAATAATGTAATAATTAGATTTGCATAAACTCCACTCTTCTTTCGTGAATGATCGGAAATATGCGACTGGCGGTGACGCGCTCCGAACTCCTGTTTTATTTGTGATTTTCGCGGGGAGCTTCATATTCGAAAGCTGCCGTTGTTGTTTATTAGAAATAAAATACAATTATTGTACAGATGATGAAGTAGCCTTATGCAGTTTCTGGTGTCCCTTTCCATACTTTCTGAATTTAAAGCAAACAATTGTATCTAGTAAAAGGTTATATATATTGTAACCTGTTTCTGGACAATTGGTAAAACGATGCCAGATATAATAAGTTCACAATTAATGAAAATAGAAATATCGAATTTTGTTACGGTTACAGGATTCAGAAGCTTTTATTTTAATTCGAAAATATAAATAGCAAGTTTCGCTACTAATAATTAAAATTTGCAGAAAATTGCCTAAGTTATAAAATTCCGAAAACAATTTTCACGTACCGGCTTAAATAGATTTACGCCTCTGCGTTAAAACTGGTTCTACATCACTTTAGTCTAGCAAAAAGAAACAGCAACGTTCAGACTGAAAAATCAGTATGTCACTTTCAATCTCATTTATTGCTGATTTTCGTTTTCTAGCTCTCCTGTAAAATTTGTAAAATGTTAGTTACGCCGGTACGTGCGGAGACCGACAATATATAGGGTAAAGTCGGATAAAGCGTACCGCCGGGTAAATCGTACCACCACCGTTTTCAAGAGAATTATTTACTACCCGTGGCATCTCTTGGCAAAATCCAAAAGCTTTGAGGATTATATTTTTCCCGCCCAAGCTAATAATTGCCGCTCACTTCACCCTGTCAGTCAGTTTGAGGTTAAATTAAGAGCAGTGTTGTTGATGTTATTTTTTGCTCCGGTTCATAAGCTTTTTTCTTACATTTGGTAAGTAGATACTTTTAAGATGTATTATTCACGTATTTTATGGACGTGTAGTTAGTTGTTGCTGAAATTATCAATTGGAAATACGTTTGTTTAGGTTGAAATTTTATATAAAAAAGTAAAATTGTGCTTGTGTCGTATATCGTACCACCGACAGTTTTGTAAATCGTACCGGTACGATTTACCCAACCGAGACTTTTTGCTCCATTTTTCATAAGTTTTTTTTACAGGAATTCAAAAAAGAAGATGAGTAAAGTAAATAATAAGAAAAAAACAAAACGGGAATACTGTGGATGGACCTCAGAAGATATGGATCATGCAATTAATGCATACAAACAAAACGGAATCAAAAAATAATTGCACGTAGAGGAAAGCACCAAGTTGGAGGTATAGCAAGTGGTGAGAGGGGCGTAAATACCACAGTTGTCGTTTGTGCCAGTGCTGCCGGTCAAACTGTACCACCCATGATCATTTTCAAGAGAAAACGTATGGCTCCAGAGCTAACCATAGGTGCAATATCTGGCACTATTGTTACAATTTCAGATACTGGATATATAAATAGCGAACTTTTTGTTAAATGGTTAAAGCACTTTATTGAGTACGTAAAACCAAGTACCGAAAAAAAAGTTTTGCTCATTTTAGCAAAAATGCATGGAATTGTACTACTGCAACTTCCTGGCCATACTACAAATCGGTTACAGCCATTAGACGTAAGCTTTTTTAAATCTATGGAATCCTATTTTTCTCAAGGTATTGAAACATTTTTGAGAAGCAATCCTGGTAACACTGTTACTCAATATAACATGACTGGATTGCTCTCTGATGCCTATGCAAAAACTGCATCAATAAGCAACATCATGGGTGGTTTTAAAAGAACTGGAATATGGCCGGTTGACCGTACTGTATTTTCTGATGCAGATTTTATCGCTGCTAGCGCCTTGCTTGAAAATGATTCAGAAACAGCAAGGGAGGATTTAGGGGAAATAAATCCACGTGAAACGACTATTGAGCCTGAAGACGAAGCTACTGAGCGACTAGTTAAAAGTAATAGTACTGAACTAAACAACAATTGCAACTCAACAGATCTGAATACCTCCATTGAAGAAATTAATCCTTTACCTGAGAATAAAGGTAATGCTAAGAAAAGAAAATTGTCTCAACCAGCCGTCATTTTAAGCAGTACGCCCTATAAAGATGAATTGGAGAGCAAGCGCAATCAAAGGCAGAACTCAATTAAAAAAGTAAAGAAAAATCTCGGGCTTTCTTCTACTTCCCTTTTCGAAGCACGTGACGACCAATCTTCCACTTCAAAATCTGATGTAGTAAATGCTCAAATTGAATATGATACTACTGAATGGTACTGCCATATATGTGAAGAGAACATTATTGAGAATATGGTGAAATGTATGAAATGTAAGAAATGGGCCCACACATCATGTGCAGGAACTAAAAAGCAAATAAAAAAATATGTGTGTGAGAACTGTAAATAAAAAGTTAGTGGTACGATTTAAAAACCGACGGTACTACTAAACCAACCTGTTCGCTTAATCGTACCGTTTGCAAGCATTTTTATTTTTGTATTTTTTTTGCTTAAGATGTTGTTTGATTTAGTTAAACTCTTGATTAAGGAGAAAATAAATGTTTATATTTGCTTGTGTGCTAATATGAATGCTAAAGAGTTTAATTTCTGAGTACAGTGGTCAATTATTTAAAAATCGGTACGATTTACCCTACTCTACCCTACCATCCACTAGAATGCAATTTGTCCTTTCAAATTTCAGGTATTGCCAAAATAACATCTTAGATCTAAATAAAATAGTTCATCGAGGCTAGGCAAACTCTTTACCAATGCTAAATAAACAAAACTAATAAATATAATTAATTGTTTTTTCTACAGCATGTATACCCGTTTTGATAGTTCATTAATTTTAAATGAATGGGTGTTTTTAATCTAAGTAAACGGTTTGATAAATACAATTAAACGACTGCACTTTCGATTAATTAAACTAGTTTCATAGACTCAAATATGAGAAATCGGAGTTTAGTTAGGCTAATAGAAACTTGTTAGCTGTCGCATAGTTTATTAAATTTAGCAATTAACCTGATACAAAGTTCAGTTGCTTTAATTAAACCTTTTCCTCAGTGTGGAATCAAATAAAGTAAGAGAGCAATATAATATATACTATTAAGTAGCCATTACAACGGCACATATACCTATAAATGCTGGAAGGTTTGGCTGCAAGTCCTAAAATTGGCTGTTTCGCGAGCAAATTTTTTACATACATGTATCGATGAATACACATTTCCATATATCAGATATCGATCTATAACTTTCGCTTTCCTATTTAAACCTCACTCCTTTATCAGTGCTCGTTCTCCTGGAAACCGTCACCCTTATCCTACGCGTCGTTCAAACGCGATGGGTGATCCATAATCAAATATCTGACAGATGAGTTGCCGCTAATCACCCGCATACATACCATGTGCCCGTTTCCAAGTTCGTGCAATTTCGACATAAGCACGCGTTCGTGAGTTCCATAGAAATAATAATCAGGAAAGTAAATTTGCCCAAATCGCGGCTCTGCCGCTCTTAACTAAAGACGTCGAGAACAGGGTAGGATTTGGATGGAATTTACTCGTAGTTGTTGAGCCTCTGTTTCATATTATTTTACAATAATGATAATATTAAACGTTTTTATTGATATTATCATTAGTACACTGGGAGATTTTAGAATGAGAGAATTTAAATAGACGAATGACGAATTTAAATAGACGAATGACATAAATAAACATATCCTTCCTCTACAAATTTACTTATCCTAATTGTTAACCTGTTATAATGCGCTGCTAATTTACATGTCTTTATACAAATATTGCTTAAGTGCTACCCTGAAGTTTCGTGCCGGTAGTTGTTTAATTTCTAGAGGAAGGGAGGTGAAATTCGTGATTGATTTGTACGTAAAACTTCTATGAAGAAATCTTGTTGAGTGAGACGGCCAGTCTAGAGATAGTTGATCTCCTATTTTTAAGGTATGAACGTTTTATCTGAAATTAAGCAGGTGTTAAGATGTTTTTAATCATATTGTCAACGTTCCGGGGTTTACTTTACGTCCTCGAGGCTACAAAAACGTGAAAAAATATATTGAAAATTGTGAATGTAGTAATGAATAAAAAACATTTCTTTAAGAAAATACACAGGAATAAAAAATTATAAAAAAAACAAAAACGATGTCAACAAACGTGCTTACATATTAAAAATTATAAGAAAATTCAGACTCTCTAAAAATGAGACATTACAAATAAGCATATAAAAAGCCAGATTAAAATCAGTTTTACCTATTCGAAGAGATAAGCAAAATATATCCCAAGGGAAACAAACATCCCATAGGTCAACATCAAGTATAGAACATGGAAACAACAAAGAAAACCAGACCTTTTGTCTGTTGATACATACGACGAGTAATCATAAATTCTGGAAAAACGTAAAAACTGCTTGGGATGCACATCTAATAGGTTTTTTAATCAAGAAGTTGTAAATCCTCAGTGTCTCTGTTTTGTTCACAGCACTGTCATACATATACCTGTAAAAGTATGAAAACCATTTCGCTAATTAAGCGTCTTTTGTAACTTTCATTGTCTAACTAACAAAATCAAAGTTGAATTAATGGTTCTTCTGAGAATAATGAGTAGCCAAAAGCTGTTGTTCCCAATGATTTCGATGTACCTCTCTGTAAGAGGATTTTAATGTGTAGAAAGACTATTTTTCAGCTTTTGATTTGTTTGACCGATATACATTATTTTACATTATTTGACAGTCACTACAAGGTATTTTGTACGCTAAATTGGATTTATCGCCAAAGTGCAGTTCATCCTTAAGTGAAGAATATAACACCCTCACCATCTTTTCATGGTAAATCACAAACATTGTCATATCATCTGTTAAGTGATGTTTGATTTTTTTTATAGTTCTCTTAAATTATGTTTTTTTTAAATTACTTGACGTTTGGATGATTCTGGTTAGTATGAGGCGGTTGATCATTGCTGTTACTGATGATTAAATTACATATTTGTTCAGGATAAAAACATTTCAAATGGATCAAGTCAGTCAAATAGGCTTATACGATCAATCTCGTCATTACGCATGTGACAACGTTGCAATCTACAATGTCTTCACAATTATTATGAGCGTACCTCGATATGAAAAAGCACGCCACTGAACTGAGGAATTGACGGCGTCTTGTAGAGTAGAAGAAGTGTCAATAACAATATGTAATTTATTTTGAAATCTCGTCTCAAATAAAGTCAGGAACAAATAAAGATGATTTGGCTATAAATCTGGTACATGAAACAACTAGCTATCTGATATATAAATCCGAACACCCAGTTTAAATGGTTTTATTTTAATAAAAGTTGGTGAATGTATTTATCTTACTGTAAATAACAAGTGAAAAAATTTTCAGCCTTATCACTTGGACATTCCGGTTTTTATACTGCTTTTTTTAATTCACTAACGCTCTAAAAATGAATATTTCTGCCGCAGTAAAGAATCAACGTTGGCGGATTTTGATTCTTGACATCCTTTACGATCGGTTACGATGCCTAGAGTACGGAGACCTGTACGATTTCGTCAACTTAGTGAGTTTGATAGGGGCCGTATAGTGGGACTTCGGGAAGCTGGACTTTCTTTTCGGGCAATTGCAGTTAGAGTGCAAAGAAGTGTAGACACTGTGGTTAGGTGTTGTCAGGCATGGCTTCGAGAAGGCCGTACGCAAAGAGCAAGGGGAACTGGACGCCGCCGTAGAACAACAGACCGTGAAGATCGCCGCCTAAGATTATTGGCCTTAAGGGACCATTTCTCCACTACCAGATCCATTGCAAATAAATGGTTTGCAGAACACGAAAGACCTACTGACATGCGAAGTGTTTACCGACGAATGAGAAGTTTTGGCTTGTTTTCATACCGGCCACACTGGGTCCTCCCTTTAACTCGAGAACACCGACGTAATCGCCTTGAGTGGTGTTGACAACGGTCACTCTGGGATCAGGAATGGAACAGTATTGTCTTTAGTGACGAGTCTCGATTTTGTTTAGGCATGCACGATGGTCGTACCAGGGTTAGAAGGCGACGTGGTGAAAGGAGGAATCCACAGTTTTTTTGTTGAAAGGCATGTTCATCACACTGTTGGAGTTATGGTTTGGGGTGCTATAGCTTATGGTTCCAGGTCACCTTTAATCTACATCAGAGGTAACATGAACGCGCAGCGCATATCCACGAAGTTCTAGAACCCCATCTTTTACCCTATCTTGACAC